CCTGAAGCACGCTAAGGACAATCCCAGGTCCTTCTCATACAGGGCTCTTTGTCTTGCACGTCAACCTTTTTGCAGCTATTTTTGATGGAACAAATATTTATCAAATATTTGCTATGTACCCATGTTTTATTATGTCAGCCCATTCCTTAAAAGCTCTTACATAGGCTGGGCACAGTGGCTCCCACCTGTAATCCCAGGACTTTGGGAGGCTGAGCCAGGTAGATCACTTGAGGCCAGGAGTTCAAGATCAGCCTGGCCAACACGGTGAAACCCCATCTCTACTAAAAAGACAAAATTGGCCAGGTGTGGTGGTGCACACCTATAATCACAGATACTCAGGAGGCTGAGGCAGGAGAATTGCTTGAACTTGGGAGGCAGAGGTTGCAGTGAGCCAAGGTCGCACCACTACACTCCAGCCTAGGCAACAGAGCAAGACCCTGTTTTAAAAAATAAAACAAAAAAAACACAATTCTTACATGGTTCCTCATTATTGTCATACAGTAGGGTACATAAGCCTCTTCGTAGCCCAGCCTGTCCCTACGATTCCAGCTTCACTCCTTGCTACTCCCCTCATATCTGGCCATCCACCATTTTGAACTGGCCAGCATAGTGTAATGTAGTCAACAGGTGCAAAGACTTCAGAGGCAAAGGCCTGGTTGTGAACCAGGTCTCTCCACTTAGCCACATTCATCTTTCAGAGCCCCTGTTTCATCGGCTGTAAAACTGGGATAACAATACTTCTGAGATTGTTGATAGGATGACTTTGGTTATTTAAAAAGCTTCCTGCACCATTACTGGTAATGTTTATCATTTTAAATGATAACAACTATTACTTTCCTCAGAAAGCTTCTCTGCCCTCCCAGCATTATGGAAGGTGCATACCTCCCAACAGTGTGAATTTCTGTTAAATGTTTGTCTCTACCACTGAGCGTAAGGTCTTGGAACACAGGACCATTGTTTCTTCTTCAGCTTGACAACTCCAAAACATTGATGATAACCAGGAAATGCTTGTTGGTTGAAAGGAAAAGGAGGAAGAAGGGAAGCAATAAGCTAGGTGCTGTGAGGGGCATGAACATGACAAAGGCAGAGCCCTGCCCTCCAGATGTCAGACCTCCAGCTGGACAGACAGACAAACTGCAGATTGCTATATTTGATTCCTGTAAGGATAAAGTATGATATATTTATGACAGGGAAAAAGAACTTTTAAAAAAACTTATTTTTTCCTTATTGTGATCTATATCATACCTATAGGAATGCATAAAAGTAGTATGTAGAGTTTGAGGAATAAAATTAACACTTTAAGCACCATGCAAGACGAGAAGTGAGAGAGAATTGCAGAAGCTCCTCCCTCCCCCAGAAGTCTCCTCTGTCACAGCTTCTTTCCTCTCCCCAAGAAGTAACTACTGTCCTGGCTTTCATGATAACCATTTTCTTGCTTCTCTTTATGATTTAATCATCTATGTATGAATCCCTATCCAAAATAGCTTTGTTTTTGAACCTTATTTAATCTGAACCATCCTGTATTCATACTCTTGAGACTGGCCTCTGTCCCTCAAGTTTGTGAAACTGATCCATGTTGTTGAAGATATAGCTGTGGTTCTTTTTCTTTTAATTACTATAGTATTCTATGACTATACCACAAATTTATCCATCTACTGCTAATGGACATACAGGATTTGTCCAGTTTGGGAATGACAAACAGTGCCTCTGTTAACATTGTTGTATCCATTTTCTCCAGTATCTAAACATGCAGCATGCTTTTTGTTGATATTGTTGAGAATTCATTCTACCTCTGGAAGCAGTGAAATCCCTAGGGGTAGAAAAATTCCAACTAGTTTGCACAAAGATGATTTTAGAAAGACAAGAGTCTCAAAGTGTGTTTGAAAGTTGTGTGTTTGAAAACTTTGTGTTTCTCAAAGTGTGCTCCACATAACAAAATCATGTGGAGAATTTGTTGAATATACAGACCCAGCCTAAAACCACCAAACAAGACCCTCCGCAGATACAGCCTGGAAACATTTTAGCAAGCTTACTGCCCACCCCCACATGAGTCATGTAGATCACTAGCCCTCTACCTTATTATTTTTTTCATTTGTTAGCATTTAACCTCCTTCCACGTGGCTTCAAGCCACCAGGACACAACCTCCCTACTTCCCCCCACATATACACCCTTAATCTTCTCCCAGCCCTCCTGCTGAAGAACTTAGCCTTCATAACATCAGGCTACTTTGGGAGTTTCCCTTCTGCAGAGTCTGCAGTAGCCCATAGCACTGCGTCAGTGATGGGAGCAGCTCCAGCATTTTTTTTTGGGGGGGGGGCGGTCAATGTGTGGTTACTCATGTCTCCTGACTAACCAAGGTCCACAATTTGTCAAGGTCGACAGTTGGGCAGAAGCTCTGATTTCTCTTTAAGTGGCAATGCCTCATAACCAACTTTACCAAAGTAACCTGGGTGACACTTGTCGGAGTCGATGCATGCCAGCAGCATTACCCTGGCCTCCAGGTGCTTCCCGTCCTTGGTCAGGCCTTTACTTTCTGTAGATGTTGCAGGTGTGATGAAACAAATCTCCGTGGTCGGTGCAATGTTACGAGAGGGAGGAGCAGTACTTTGATGCCCAGAAAATCAGCTCCCCTTGCTATGTCCCCCTTCTGCTGGTGTACCAAGTCTCCAAGCGGACTCTGCCCTTAGCACACCTACACACTGCGGTCCTAGCCTTTTGCTTTCTTCTCCACACCTCTCCCCCTCATCCCCCAATCTCTGCCCTATTCCCAAATGCTCCAGAACACTCAAAGTCTCAATTTAAGTAACTCCAGTCTTTCCATGACCCCTAGCAATGCTTTACTTAAATAGGAACTGTTTTATATAGACTATCCTTTTTAGAGTTTAGATTCACTGCAAAATTGAGCAAAGATTTCCCATATACTAGTCACACTTCTCTAAAAATCTACTCTACCTACCCATCCCTCCCTGCCCGCTAATGCATCAACCACTGATCTTTTTAAAACTGTCTCCAGTTTTGACTTTTCTAGAATGTCATATAATTGTAACCATACAATATGTACCCTCTTCAGAGGAGCTTGTATCACTTAGTAATATATATTTAAGTTTAGCACTGAATAATACTCCCCAGTCTATCTGGATATGCCAGTTTATCCAACCATTAAAATAATGAAGAGCATACTGGGTGCTTCCAGGTTTTGTCAGTTATGCATAAAGTTGCTGTCAACATCTGTACGCAGGTCTTTGGGTAGATGTTCAGTTTTCACCTCATCTGGGCAAACACCAAGAAGTGCAATAAAAAGTCTGGTAAGAGTATGTTTAGCTTAAGAAACTGCAGTGTCTTCTGAAGTGGGTGTACCATTTTGCGTTCCCACAATGAATGAGAGTCCCTATTGCTCCATGTCCTCGCCAGCATTCGGCCATGTCAGTGCTTTGGATTTTGGCTATTCTAATAGATGTGTAGTGGTACTTCATTGCTGTTTTAATTGAGACACCTTGTTTTAAAACCACTACTCTTCACTTTTTCTTGTTTTTTGGAGGTCTTGTGTTTTAAAATTTTGAGAGCAAATTGTAAGCAAGTTATCTTTCATTATTAAGCATGATTTTATTTACACATATTTCAGACTAACTCTTTTTTCCTTTTAAATATAGATAAATGCAGAGGGAACGCCAGAGGATGTTTTTCTTCAACTCTGCGCAGCTATTGACTCTATTTTCTGAAGGCGAAAATGCACGTTTGTTAGAGTGGAAACAAACAGATAAAAATATTAAAAAGGTCATTCCTTTCAATGTTTCAAGTTAAACCTTTTGTGTTCCCCCTCCCAAATCCTGACAGCACTGTTTACTTCCCAGCTAGACCTGTGTGAGGTGTCTGGAAATCATGCATGGTATATTTGGGATTATCAAGCTCTTCTCCATACTTCAGACAGCTGTCTGTGCTCACAGCACGCACCCTTTGTATCATGCAGGCCGCACTCAGAGCTAGTCAGTACATGAACAGTGGTGCCGTGCCAGTTGGTGTCCATTGTGATCGCAGGCCTTTCTAGAGCCTGATCATCTGGTTCTCATTAAGCACCCCTCACTCCCAATCAATCACACCTTCCTCTCCCCAGAATTTATATACTGTTCCCCGATGAAGGCCCCTGGCACAGGGGATAGGCCTGGGCATTTTCTTTGGTGTCTGTTTCCTCAACTCTCATCCACTAGTGGCTCAGAGCCATAAGGTAGGTTGATTACACAATGCTTTGTACATGATATAGAGGCATCAAGCAAGTAAAATTTGATAGAAGTTTTAAAATATGAAATTGCATAGCTTTTCCAAGACAGCAAAACCCAGGTTAGTCATCATCAGTAACATTCTCTATTATTATTTTTAAGAAACTTGGAATACTGTCATTATGGCTAAGAGAACAAATCTGTTAAGTTGGGGAACCTAGTCTCTTCTCTACATGGTGACGCATTTCATAATTGCTGAAAAGCAATTATAAATTAATTATCAATGACCAAAAGAAATTTAAAGCTTCAAGTGATTTGCTATTTCATTCACTGGATACACATCAAATTATAATTTTGATTTTAAATGGTCACCCATTTATTTGTTGCCAAGCAAGTAAAACATACCATAACAAAACTGATGTGGGTGGGAGGGGCATGTCAGTAAGTGGTGTGTTCAATGTTGTTGTGTTTGTTTCATATGGGCCCTTTCCAGGAGCTTGCAAACTTTGTCATACCCATTTGCAAAACTGTGTTTCCTTGCATTACCAGTGAAGTCTGGGTCCTCTTTTGTGCTATCAGTTGTCAAATCAGAGCTTCTTATATATTCTACTGGAATAACTGCATCTTCCACTCAGTCACTACAAAAACATAATAGTTTGGGTTTGCATGATTTTTTTCTTCTTCAGTGGTTGTGTAGATAAGGATCCATTTCTGGGTAGAACTGTATTTTTTAAGTCATTTTTTCTTGACATGGATATGTACAAATAAAATAAATGAAGACAGGATAACTCTTTTTCTATTTATTTGTAACTTCACATCATTCTGGAAAGCATTTGAAGACTTGTTCCAAACAGAATTAGAAGCAAACACAGAAATAGTCAAGATTTACGATATACTTCTTATATGGTTTTAATTTTAGCTATAAATCAGTTCTGAGTTATTACAGAGAGAACTCAATGTATTCATGATACATGGTAATTAATTTTCATATTTCCTTTTTTCTCTAGCACTCATTCTGAAACAGAAATGTCAGTGTTTGCTAAAGAAGAAATTAAATTTCTTTGGTTACAATTATGCCTCTATTAACAAAAAAGGGCATGTTCCCACAACTCAAACAGTTGTCAAATACTTTATTACTACTCCAAGTTGTCACACTCTCTGTCGGGGAGCACAAGTACTTGTGCAAACTGGGAAAAACAAAAGGTTACAGGATGAAAATCATCAGTTGTGCCAGAAAACATAAAATGACTCCTGTAGGGATTGACATTCTTGAAATACATACCACATACTGGCAAACAGTCCATGCCCAGCACAGCTCTGACAGCACAGGTAAGGAAAATGAGACAGCAGAGGGGCAGAAAGGCCCAGCCATGGTTTTTATGGCTGTAGCTAACAGCTATCTTGAAATGGCTTTGCCCCTGAAGAGTATCTAGAAGTACAAATCAACTCTTCTCTAGAACACGTTACTGATTCGAATGACCTGAAATGATCTCGCTACTTTAAAGTCATAAGACTTTAATACTGGAAAACACCTGAGAGGTCTCTGTCTAGCAAAAGACTTGTGTGTGTGTAGAACACATCAGAACATTATAAACTCCTTTACAGTGATCTGTCTTCAAGGCCATATCTGAGCTGCCATGTGCCCTCTCTGACACCATCAGCTACTACTCTCCTCTTGCTCATTTGGCTTAAGCTACACTGGCCAACTTAATGTTGCCCCAACAAGCCAAGCTCTTTAGTGGCTCAGGGCCCGTGCATTATTCATGCAGCAATTTCCCTCGCTCCATTCTGGTTTCTATTTATTGGAACTTATCCTGGCCAACAGAGGATTTCTTTGCTTATTCCATCTAAAATGGCAGACTATTCCCCATTCTCCCATTATTATTTTTCTCTGAGCATGATATATCTTCAAAGCATTTATCCCTGCCTCAAATTAAGTAATAGTTTTTATTTACTTACTTATTACTGGTCTTCTGCATTAGATTACAGTCTCTATAAGGACACGGCTTGGTAGCTCCAGTCCCACACACAGTAATTAATATTGAGAGCTAACATATTTACCATACTCTCTGCACGTCCAGTTTTCTCATGTATACAATGGAGAACATAATAGTAATGAACCTCAGAGAAGAACTGTGAGGATTAAACGAAAGTTAGTAAGACACACAGATCGTTTACTAGCTCCTAATGTGCAATGAAAGGTAGCTCTTTGTCAACACTTGAGTGTTTCACTTCCACAACTGGGACTAAAACCCAGACTTTCCACTCCAGTGTCCTTTCCATTACATGATCATTTTTTTTGAGACAGTGTTCTCCCCTAGGCTACTATGCAGTGGCGCAATCTACTATAGCCTCAACTTTCCAAGTTCAGGTAATCCCCCTCCACCGTCAGCCTCCCAAGTAGCTCAGACTACAGGCACGTGCCACCATGCCCAGCTAATTTTTTTTGGTATTTTTAGTAAACACAGGGTTTTGCAATGTTGCCCAGGCTGCTCTCGAACTCTTAGACTCAAGCAATCCACCAGCCTTGGCCTCCCAAAGTGCTGGGATAACAGGTGTGTCACCGTGCCCAGCTCTGTTATATCACTCTTGAAAACATGGTAGAGAATCAAGATACACAGTCTAACTAGGGGCCCACAAAGAACCAAAACCACCTCCGCCAACCAGGGTTGAGCCACAGCCTTCAGGCAAGATAGAATCCAATTCCCCTGTCCTCTCACAGCACTGTCAAGATGACCTTCTGAGGCAAGCCCTCTAAGGATCTCACAGACACACTCAGTCATAGGTAGTATCTCTTAAGTTCCTGGAGGAAAAAATGTAAACTCGCCAAAATGTTGGTCATACAACCAACACATATTTATTGAGAATCTATTAAATGCCAGGCCCTAGAGATACAGACAGACATGGATGGTCTCTGTTCTCATGGAGCTAAATGTATCATAACTCTGAAAAATCTAGTTAGCTTGGCTACATGAACTGTAAGAAAAAAAAGTTATATATTTTTTCTGGGATCATATAAACAGAAGCACATTTTTCATCAAGAAATAAAAACAAACAGTTTACAGCCTAAACAATGCCTTCATAGGCTTATAGAAAAACCTACTGAAATCTGAAGACTTCCAATCCCATCCAGTGTATCTATAGATGAATAACAGGCTTCAAACTTCATTATCCACAGTAAGAAACAGTTTTATATAGCACACAATACTTATATTTATGATTGAAAAAGACATTTCACAAAACAATATTTATCTTTATTACATGTGATGTACCATTTTCTCGATCTCTTTTTTTTTTAAATGTTCCTCATACCTCAGTAAATTGTTGTGTTCTGTGATTTAATTTAAACAAAAAGGGGAAGGGGGGAAAATAGACAAGGCATACTATTAAGTTAAGTGAAAAGCACCCAACATGCATAGAATAAAATCCTACCTGAGGCAGGAAACACAAGCCTTTGTCCCAGCTTTGCCTGAGACTTCGCAAGCCTGGACATATGGTGAGGTTTGTACTCTTAGGAAGCACACCCCGTCAGGAAAACAGAATGTAAGGCAACATCTGCACACCTCCACTCCTAACACCTAGTGTTGCCTGACACAAGGGGAAATTTCCTGCTCAGGAAACAGGGTAGTAAGGCAGACGCTGACTCTGAAGTAATCTGTCTAAGTTAAAGTCCAAGCATCACTGCTTTACTAGGTATATGACCTTGGGCAGGTTAGTTAACTTCTCTCTGGCTAGATTTCCTCATATGATAACAGGATAATAAATGAACCTGCCTCATAGGGTTGTTGAGAATTAAATTAGTTGTTATTTGCTTGCTTGGCACATAGTAAACACTGTAGCAGTGTTTTCTATTATTATTATGCATCACACAAAAGGAAGCTTCCTCTGCCTAAACCTTACAGCAATGGTTTTAGACATCATTAAATGTTTCTTCAGTTGTGCAAATAACTTGAGCACAATATATCAGGAAATAGATCTTATCTACTGAATACCACTGAATAAGCAATGCTTTAGCAAACAGGTCTTTTACAGTCCGTTTTAGCTTACAGTCAATAATTCTGTGTAGGCAGATGGGCGCCTACTGGCAAATGACAGCTCTGCCCATTATTCTTGCAATTCTCAAAACAACAACAAAACACTACCTGCTATTATCTGAACTTCAGGGCCTTTTAAAGCCATGGGGGCTATTTTCCTGGAGCTGAAAAATGCAAAGCAAACACATCATCTGCTTAAGCAGAAAATCCTCTTTATTACTCAAAAATCTCAAAAAATGTTTGCCCTTGAAAATGCATTCAAGTGGCTTGTCTATTCCATTTATACAACAATTGTATCACTCATAGCCCTCTTCCAAAGCAAACATCATACTTCATGGAATTTTTGAATGGATCTGAATGGCTTTCCAAAACTAATTGGTATTATTTCTACACAAACATAGAAGTTACCATCAAGTGTTAACTATCTTACCTAATTAACAAGTTGAAGGCAGATCTTCTGGCACATTCACAAAACATTTAATATAAAAATGCCCAGAATGCTAATAATTCCCCTCTTCACCCCACTAATAATTCCAGGGTGAGAAGTTAAGCCCAAGTCCATTTACTTTTCCTTCTGTTGTGATATATTATATCTATATCATCAGTGATCCTTAATATATTACTTTAAAATTTTCATATTTCTATATTTAAAATTCTATTACTTTTCTCAATTTAAAAAAATTCAGGGTATGATTTTAGTACCCTGATATGTACTGAAGAGAACTAACAGATAATGTTCTCTTGATTTAAAATAGGAAAAAACAGGTGATTCTAAAAATTGGGTCAAATATAACACTTAATCAATCTTAGAATATTTATACTATCTTTTCCTATAGTTAATAGTAATTTCCAGGAAACAAGGTGATTTTTCAAAAGCCATCTGTTTGAATACATTGGGGAGGGGGGTGATTATTTTCATGAGACACGACTAGAAAAAAAAATTTCAACTTAATTTTCACACCTGAGCATTAATAATTGCTTTTTTCTTTAACCATAGTCTGTGTTTTCTTTTTGTAAGCTCATTTAATTTAGTGTTTCAGCACACGCTGAGTAAAAAACATTACCATATTTTACAGGGTTGCTTAAGATCACCCTCTTATCCATAATATATTCCTTATTCTTCATAAGCAACAGAAAGAAAACTCTTAAATACGTGAGGCAAACCATTGAAAAAAAATACCAATTTCTGGTTTTAACACTGGTTAAAAAAAACTCCAAAATCTAACCAAAAGGAAGTCACAACAAGCGTTCTATAATATAAACAGACAGTATCCACATAGTTTATTTCTCACAGTTCTCCTGACAAATGAACATCATTCAAGAACATACTGTATACACAGATAAGAAGAAACATACAAAATGTTTTAAATGATGCACAACAAAATCCAGCAGTATAAAAGAATGCATGTGAACTCTTGCTCACTGCGCAGACTAAATTTAATCACTTGTTTAAATAGTAATAAAAATACAATCTTTTATGGATCTTGTGCAGACTACAAAAGAGGGAAATTTTTACCATATATATGATTTTTATATTAGGCAGTTTTCTTTGATGAGTTGTACTGACAACTCCAAATACAGAGGCAGAAGGCTGTGTATTTTAAAGGAATTAATGTTGTGAATTAGAGACTTTACACAGTTATTACCACTGGCACTTTTCACCATAGTTTGTACACATCACATGATCATCTTATATAACATTACATTTAAAAAATATATCTGAGTGACAATTTTATAACATTCACACACCATGAGCTGGTTAAGGAAGCAATGCCACAGTTGCCTCCTGTAGTGCTTCACTGTTGGTAATTAAGACAATTCATTGTGGTTAAAAGAAATTAGATATCAATATGATTAAGCAGCTCCAATTTACTAAAGGCCATCAATGACCACCACTGGGACAGTGAGTTCTTTTAAAGTGTATATCCTAGAAGCAAACACCATCATTGGTTAAAACTTTGTCTAAAGAAGTCAGTTTCTGTGCTGAAAACTATTTTCACAAAACTGAAAGCTACTAAACTGTTTTAATATAAATACTTTGTCTTCTCATTATCATATCTATGACCAAGTTCTTTGAAACCTTTGGAATTTACTCTCTCTTTAATGTGTGCTCTTGTTCCATCTCACCCATGTAAGGTCACCACCTAAAAGGCGGTGGTGAAAAATTCACCAGGGAAACCCTTTGCTCACCAGGAATGTTCAGCTGCTGAACAGTGATCTAGAGCCACAACAGTGCAGAGCTGTACTTGACGAGAACACTCAGGAAGCTCTCATGCTGTGAGTGTCATTTCTGGGAAAGCAGAGAATCTTTCCAAACTGTGCACATAATTAACAATGATACCATTGCTATGTGTTGAAGAGGACTACTAAATGATGTTCTCTTCCATGTCATCTGTTTGCTGGAAAGTAGTTTGGGTCAAGGTAATTATAACTGGTGCCCTGGGACACACAGTAGTCTCTGTCTAAGAATGTCTCTGACCTATAAATAGGTTCTAATTGGTGATCTTCCTTGTGAATATCTGTTTCATGTAGGCTACAAAGAAAAAAAGACACATATAATTACATGGTATTGGATGCATTTTAGTTTGTATCTTACAAAGCTTCCTCACAGCTCTCCCTGTTTAAATCCATTAATCTATCAAAATCTCTAATGGAAAGTTACTTGCTATGTGGTATGATTACAGAAAAAAACTGCCTAGAACAACAAAGTTTAATTCACTAAGTGTGGTTATTAATATTTTCTATGTTTGAAATCAAATTCACTAATGGCTGAGAAGCCCTTTTCTTGTCTAAGCTGAAGACCGACAATGAAGAAAACACTTACCAGTCTGAACAAGAATCACAGAAATCCAAAGACATTTCTGGAGGACAATCCTGGCAATGCCACCGAACACCCTGGATGGGTTCTATGCCACAGTTATCACACTGTAAGATTCAGAGAGAAAAGATTTTCACTTACACTGTTCCACGACCATTTTTATTTTCCGCAAGGAAACACATGATGTGCACATAGACATCTCTCTCTCCATGCACAGGACAGTAATACGGCACACAAATGGTTACATGTTAGAGACAATTTCTGGCAAACTACATAAAATTCCATCCACTCAATATCAAGATACAGGTGAGTGAGAGAAACATTAGAAGGGATAATCTTCAGCTTAAATTTATTAAAAAATGTGTAAAAGTAAATCATCTCCAACTTGGGTGTTTTGTTATTTGTAACCATCTACTTGAAAGGAACCTCAAACCATTGTATGATGGCTACGGTAGAGAAACACTGAATTAATAGCATAGTTAAAACTATGTAAATATGATCCATAATTGTTTCAACAGGTTCTCTGGGCTAATATTAACCCAGGAAACCATAAAATTCTATCCCAACTTTTATCTTACTGAATTGCTCCCTAAACAAATGCCTCGTGTCAAAAAGGCAGACCTAGCTCTTTCTCAGCATGGTGGCATCAGGATAGTCCTCAGTGTGTTCTGTGCACTTTCAGAAATCAAAGGATATATAATTTCTAGTTTCTTTGATCATCTGACCAACTAGAGTGGCTGACAGACTGGCAAACAAGCCATGGCTGGGTGTTGCAGCAAAATTATGAGAAGTGAAGCAAGTTTCTCTTTGAAAGGCCAGAGCTGCCAGTTAGGAATATTTCTAATAGAGAAGCAGTGTCACTGAAAGATCAAGAGGGAAAATCATTTAATATAGTATGGCTACTGGCTACTCGAGAGGATCAAAGGTATAATTTTGTTTTCAATTTGATTTAAGAGTCCTAACACACATCAATACTTTCATGTGTACCCACCAACACCACCAAGTTCATGGCCTCATTATTACTTCCTCCAGTCTAACCAAGTCAATTCTAATGCCTAAAGGTTCCTCAAACTTGTCAATCTTTATTTCTATGGCCACCAGTCAAGTTCAGGACACCCTCATCTTTTATCTAGATTATCAAAAGAATCTCTAACGAGTGTCCTTGACTCTAGTCTTTCCTTCATCTAATTAAGTCTCCACACTATGGCCAAAATGAAAAGGGGAAGAACTGTTCAGTTCCAAACCCACTGCTTTCCTGAAGATCATCACCCCTAATAGTTTAAGTAACTAGAATGATCTTTCCAAAATGTAAATTTCATGTTACTTTCTGCTTAAAATCATGCAATGGTTCCCCAGCCTCTCAGGATAGTATGAGCTCCTGCGCAAAAATTCCCAAGGCAGCGCAAGCTGCCCCCAATCTCTAGTATGTACTCTAGTCACACTCAACGATTTGCTTAACTTCTCTAAATTCCTTATGAGAATGAAAACAGCGTAAGGGCAGAAACTGAGTTTGTTTTGTTTACTGCTGAATGTCTAGCACTAGCAAAGTGCCCGAAACATAATGTGTGTTACAAAATTCTGTGGAATAAGTGTATGTATTTCTATTAGCCTCTCAATCAGAAAGGGAAAAAACCCATTTCTGATCCATGAAGAACAGCAACAAAAAGAGAAACAGCTAAACAAAAGTCTCTCACATTTTACCTTAATTCATAGCTACCTATATGTTTATCTTCACTCTACTAAGTGATAAACTCTTCACATCAGGAACGATGGCACCACTACTTCACATAAATGAATGGGATAAAAGATAAACTTTTCCCTACATGCTTAGCAATTCTGGAGTTTAACACTCCAAAAACCACTTTAAAGTATTTCTTATCGCCCTTTTAAAATTAAATGAATACTCCAGCCTGGCCAACATGGTGAAACCCCATCTCTACTAAAAATACAAAAATTAGCTGGGCATGGTGGCGTGTACCTGTTCCCAGCTACTTGGGTGGCTAAGGCACAAGAATCACTTGATCCTGGGAGGAAGAGGTTGCAGTGAGCTGAGATCATGCCACTGCACTCCAGCCTGGGCAACAGAACAAGACTGTCCCAAGAAAAGTAATTAAATTAAATTAAATGAATACTAAGATTACGTAGAACTTACCTTAAAGCCCACATGTTGCACAAATCCACTTTCAGCTTGCATTTGCTGAAGTTTCTGCTTCTTTAACTTCTTAAACTGTAATAGTTCTTTATATTCAGGTAAATTCCTATACATGATAGGAATACTTTCATCATCCTATCAAAAAAAATGTTAGTTTGATAATTAAAATGAATTAAGTGTAAGAAATACTGATATAGAATATTTTTCTAGTGATAGTTTAATTTTTAAAGTATCTTTTAGTACTCAGAAAATTCGTGCTGCTATTAGCAGTATTTTCCGCGAATGCTTTTGGAGGGCTTTTTTTTTTTTAAACACAACAGTAATTCTGAATTGTAGCAGACTGCTTCAATGCAGGGACAAGGGGAAGACAGCCACGATTCCCACCTCTGTCATACACTATTGGAGAGCCAATCCCATCTTTACATTTTCATGGTTACTTGAGTGACTTGTAATCTACCTCTCCCTCATCTAAGGAAGTTTCTCTTTTCCAATCTAACGGATTTTTACATGTGCTTCTGTAAACATGACACTTTCTTAATAACAAGCAAACCAATCTCTACTCTTGTTTTTTGCTCTGCACTCCCAATGATCAAAGTAGTACATTTCTCTCTTACTCAACAGCATGAACTGAGTTACAAAGATGGCTATTTAGAATGGAGTATAAAAAAAAAAAAAAAAAAAAAAACAGTAAAAACTACATAAATGTATTAAGTAGACTAGGTGCAGTGGCTCATGCCTGTAATCCCAACACTTTGAGAGGCCGAGGCAGGTGGATCACTTGAGGTCAGGCGTTTGAGACCTGCCTAGCCAACATGGCAAAAGTCCGTCTCTACTGAAAATACAAAAATTAGCTGGGCATGATGGCACACACCTGTAATCCCAGCTACTTGAGAAGCTGAGGCAGGAGAATCACTTGAACCTGGGAGGCGGAGGTTGCAGTAAGCCAAGATTGCACCACTGCACTCCAGCCTGGGCAACAGAGCAAGACTTCGTCTCAAAATTAAAAAAATAAAATAAATGTATTAAGTTGAAGTATCCCTTAATGAACTGGATTTCAAGGTATAAAGTCCATTTATGTTCCGAACTTTTAGATACATATGTTCAGAACCATCCCCCACCTCCCAATCGACAAGTAGTTTTCTACTCAAAGTGTCAACATGCAAAATTTGAATATTTAAAATTGCTGACAACACTGTGGTTCTAGGCAACTTCTAGATCATCACTGATGCCCAATTCCCTATTTCTGGCCTCTAAACTTAGACCGATTCTACTGAAATGACCTTCATCTTCAGTCCTTCTCAGTCTCCCATCCAACAGCCATACCTTGGACCTTGCCTTCAACTATAAGTGTTTTATATCCAAAATATTAAGCTTAGATTTCCTACCTCCACTGTTATTTCAACTTCTTTCATATTCTCATCCCAAATAATCAGCTTATTTTTTAACCTCATTGAAACTTCTAATCACTATTCTACTACCTATTCTCCCAATTCATTTGTGCTCTGCCACCCAGGATCCATTACTTTCCTTTGCTACCTAATGACTGATCCCATGCTCACTAATTTCCTAAAAGGATCCCCAGTTCTTTGACCCATGTTCTGTAAATTCCCAATCCTGGACCACACAAGCCCTGCCCCCTCCCATTCCTCTGCTACAATAGGTATTATTAAGTGCTATGTTTATTTTACATTAAGAAAACAAAAGCTTACAGAAAGCAGCCCAAGTTAGAAATCTAAGTGTTATCCTCAGTTTTTCACTCTGTCTTATACCGAATATAACAAATCCTGTTGTTTCTTAATACTTTCTATAATCTCTCTCAAATTGGTCCTCTAGTATCCACCCCCTCCTTTGCCCCTACCATTACTTAAAAGCTCCCAGTGGTTTCCTGACTATCTATAACATCAAGTCCAAAGTCTTCAGCTGAATAAAAGATTCTTTACAATTTCACACTTCATCTAT